ATTTTAGATGATGAAGAATCCAAGTATACCTGATGCTGTTGATGGGAGGGAACTAAGAACATTAGAACAAATCTTTCATCTCCTTTAAATTAACTGCATTTAATCCCCGACTCTGCTCTTAATGAAGTATTTCATAACTTGAATAAAAGATTAAGCCACTGGCACAACTCTTCTGATATTTGACTCCAGCCTAATCTGTTGGAGGATGGGGGGATATTTTATAAACTAAGTCTGACAGATGAAAGAGATCATAGACTTCTTTTCTCAGACACTTCCAGGTCAACACACAACATTACTAGCCTTTGGTTTTGTGATTTTTATCACTTGGATTCCAATGTTGTGTATTGCTCCCTGAAAGATTAAGAATAGAAAGATTAAAAATTGTTTTGTTTTGAAATGTAAAGATTAAAAAATAATTGTGTTCTGATAATCAGCGTGTTTTAGTGTCTCAATTGTGTACTAAGGTTATTATGTCTAATATAGAGGTATGTGACTCCAATGATATTACAGAAAAATCTTTACTTCCAGAATGCACACAAATATTTCTTAACATACGGAGTTATGGTAGGTGGTCTTGGAGCTTTCTATAGCAATACTGCAAGGGTATCTTATTTACTGGATATTTTTAGGCTAAGTATTTTTTTTCTCTTGCTTTGATATGTCCCAGTGCTGTTTGGGATGTGGAGGTGGGAGAGTGTTTTCTTTGTGTTAGAGAGAATTTTATTTTTTTTCTTTTCCTATCTAATTGCAGGTTTGTAATGACAATAAAAATATTTTTAAAATTCCTGTCCATGTTCAGGATATAGTTTAAAATCCCTTGCCACACCAGAGATTTTGATGTGTATGGTGCAGCTATTACATCTAAGACATTTTGTCAAACCTGCTTTTACTTCTGCTTGGGATACACTAGATAGAAACAGCCTATTCTTTATCTTTGCAAAGGATGAATAACTCTTTGATTGTAAATGTAGTGCTCATGAAAAACAAGGGACTGACAGCACTGATAACCAATGTCTTTGGTTTATCCACTGAGGACAGGTAGAGCCCAGTTTAACCATACAGTTATATCAAGGCTGATTTGCAGAAACCAAATACCGGGAGATGCTTGAGTCATTACTTTGCTTTTCCACTGAGATTAGTAGTTTGGACTTTTTGGTAATATAGATTCATGTCTACTTCAAATTAGGCTAAGATGTCGTTCATAGAGAGGCTACGAGAGAGACACCATGAAGTAGTATTGTACCTCCTTATCTTTAGCAACCTTGAACTGGTAAATCACTCTGATTCCAATTGGGAATGTAAGTGATTAGTTGAGTGGTTGACTACTCAAGTTTCCCCCTTCCCTCCTTGCTGTCTCTGTATCAGAAGCAGCAAAAGGGGGAAAAGCAGGAGCTGGTGCTGGGGGGATCTGGCTTAAAAGCTGATTCCCACAGCACCATTTCCACGATGCTGCCCCTTCTTCCCTGGCACTGCTGTGCAGAAGGTCCAGGCTTGCCATGAGCAGAGTCTGCTTTGTATCTGGCAGAGCAGCCCCTGTCTGGGCGGGGAGCAGCGGGGGTATATCTCAGGATCCCCTCTCCTGTGGACAGGGGCTGCTGGAACAAGTGTGAGCCGGAACCGAGCATGCCCAACTCAGTCCCAGCTTGCGTTGGGTACAGGAGCTACCCCCTGCTGCAGCTCTGCATTTTAAATGTTGTGAGAGCCAGGTGGCGCACACCTGGTGCGAGTTGGGACAGAACACCTTCCCTTATCAACTAATCGTGTAGTCAATACAAATTGTATTGACTACGTGATGAGCCAGTTACCTGCCTCTTAACGTCCTTAATTCCAATCATTGGCCTTCTTGACCAACAATTATCTGAATATAGTTACCACAGATCAAACCAATTCTTACTAGGTGTTTATAACTGTCATTCTGGTTAATTGTTCCAGTGATAGTAATAATTGATATACAGGCAGTCCCCTGGTTACGTACAAGATAGGGACTGTAGGTTTGTTCTTAAGTTGAATCTGTATGTAAGTCGGAACTGGCGTCCAGATTCAGCCACTGCTGAAACTGATCAGTTTCAACAGCAGCTGAATCTGGACGCCAGTTTTGACTTACATACAGATTCAACTTAAGAACAAACCTACAGTCCCTATCTTGTACGTAACCAGGGGACTGCCTGTATATCAATTATTACTATCACTGGAACAATTAACCAGAATGACAGTTATAAACACCTAGTAAGAATTGGTTTGATCTGTGGTAACTATATTCAGATAATTGTTGGTCAAGAAGGCCAATGATTGGAATTAAGGACGTTAAGAGGCAGGTAACTGGCTCATCACGTAGTCAATACAATTTGTATTGACTACACGATTAGTTGATAAGGGAAGGTGTTCTGTCCCAACTCGCACCAGGTGTGCGCCACCTGGCTCTCACAACATTTAAAATGCAGAGCTGCAGCAGGGGGTAGCTCCTGTACCCAACGCAAGCTGGGACTGAGTTGGGCATGCTCGGTTCCGGCTCACACTTGTTCCAGCAGCCCCTGTCCACAGGAGAGGGGATCCTGAGATATACCCCCGCTGCTCCCCGCCCAGACAGGGGCTGCTCTGCCAGATACAAAGCAGACTCTGCTCATGGCAAGCCTGGACCTTCTGCACAGCAGTGCCAGGGAAGAAGGGGCAGCATCGTGGAAATGGTGCTGTGGGAATCAGCTTTTAAGCCAGATCCCCCCAGCACCAGCTCCTGCTTTTCCCCCTTTTGCTGCTTCTGATACAGAGACAGCAAGGAGGGAAGGGGGAAACTTGAGTAGTCAACCACTCAACTAATCACTTACATTCCCAATTGGAATCAGAGTGATTTACCAGTTCAAGGTTGCTAAAGATAAGGAGGTACAATACTACTTCATGGTGTCTCTCTCGTAGCCTCTCTATGAACGACATCTTAGCCTAATTTGAAGTAGACATGAATCTATATTACCAAAAAGTCCAAACTACTAATCTCAGTGGAAAAGCAAAGCTGCTGCCTGCGTGCTCCGCCGCCGCTTTGCTTCCTCTCCCTGGTCTGCTGGAGACTAGGGAGACGGGCCCCGCTCATAACTGCGGATCTGACGTAAGTCGGATCCGTGTAACTCGGGGACTGCCTGTAATGTATTTGAAATGTATGGCTGAAATTCTTTACCCTGGTTATAGTATCATTTAACATTTCTAATTATGTTTTTATTAATGCAAAACCATCCATTTTTATTATAGCCGCTGAGACTCAAGTAACTGATAAAGCTTTAAATGTTTTAATCGCTAATCCATTGATAAACTGCTCGTTGCATGTTGGTTAGTCTGTCTGATATTTTCAACCAGTGGTTCAAGAATGAGGAGAGAAAGAAATTAAGACACCAGAATTACAAAGTATAAATAGGCTGGGCAGAATTTTATTTGTATTTTGTAATTATTTCAACAGATACTGATTCTTTTTAAGCATTTTATAGAGATATATTCAATTAAATTTTTAGTTGTGTGAAATTATGGCTTGTGAGCATTTTTTCAGTTTTTATCTATTTAAATATTCAGAGTTCTGGGAAATTAAGAGGGGTTAGACAATTATTTAAATGCTAAAGTTCAAAAAGGTAAAGCTCGCTAAGTATTTGGATATATTGTCAATGTCACATGTCAAAACATACAAACTAAAATATCCTTTGCTCAAAGTTTTCAAGTAGCATTTTTCTTTCGTTGTCTAGCTGTAAATTTAAATAGTTATCAAATGTTTTCATTGGTCTGTGTGTGTGTGTGTGTGGTGAACTTGACATTTACTGACAAATATAAAATCTTATTCTAAATAGAATTTTGGGTCCTGATTGGTTTTTATACAAACACCATTTTTCACTGATCTAGCAGTACGCAGGTGTCTTGAAGTAGACTGTGGACAAAAGTTAGATTTTGTCCACAAAACAATGGATGTATACACACAACAATGCTTCTGCTGATGTAACTCTTTTGCTATGCTACATAATAAAACCACCTTGATAGGAGGCATGGAGCTTTTTGCAGTGTAGACACTATGCTTGCTTATGTTGCCCCAGGTGGCCTCCAGAAGAGTCTCACAATGCCCATTATGACTGCTCTGTTAAGCGATTTCTATTCTGATACCCTGCATGCATTTACACAGGCATACATGGACAGCAGACGTTGAACCTTCCTAGTTGACTGTGCCAGCTTTCTACAGCAAACAGGCTCTTATGTGGAGTACAGTGGATTGTTGGATCTGTGAGGAGAGGTGGCTGTGCATTTGCAATTTAGCAGATTGCTCATGACCTGGATGAGAAGGGGCACAAAAGGGACAGGCAGCAGTTTCGAGCAAAGTTAAAGGAGCCAAGGCAGGTGCCCCCAAAGGCAAGGGAGGCCAGACATCACTCTGTTGCAGTGTCGAAAACATGCCATTTTTACAAGGAACTGCATGCCATACTCTGCAGCAACCACATCTCCATCCCAAGAGCTCTGGATACTTCTGGGGAACTCAAGGCTGTGGCTAGTGAAATCAACCCTGAGGATGAAATTGTGAACAAGGAGATCAAAGAAGGATGTGTGATAGACATCAAGCTTGTTTAATGGCGTGATAAGCCAGGATCTCTTTTTGATTCCAGGAGGGGTCTAGCCAGTTTGAGCAGTCCAGATCAGGTCTACCTGAAGCAGAAGAGGGGAGTCATTTTTATTCGATAATCACAATTACATGAAGTAGAGTTGTCCTTTATTTTGTTATATGATGCACATGGGACAAGGGATTGAAGTTAACAGTAGATATTGTTTTCATTTGCTCTCCATTCCCCTATGCAGTTTAGCAGTGGGAGCCCTGCAGAAAAGTTTGTGAATGCACACCAAGATTTTCTGGGAAGCCTCCATAGAGCGATCTAGGAAACTTTCCTGCAGATATTCTGAAATCCTCTGCTGAAAGTTCCTTGGCAGAGCTGTTTTATTTGTTCCCCATTGTAGGAAACTGTTGCACCAACTGGCAGTTATTTCTGGAGAAACCAAAGAAGCACACAGGTGAGCAGTATGTGGACCAGTTCTGAAGCTGCATGCATGCAGGAGATGTGTTTTCAGCTCAGTAGCGTGTTTTCAGCTTTGGTTGTCTCATCTGTGGAAAACAGTACCAACAGTCAGAATAGTGTAAATATGCAGAAAATACTGTCCCCGGGTGTTTGTACTGATCCCCTTCTGAAACTACCCTGACCCTCTTTCGTCTCACTTCATTGCTTTTATTCCGTGGCCTTAAACCCCCCCACTTCGCTCCCCCCAACTCCTGTAGAAAAGTATCTTGCAGACCCAGAGTTCAGTCTAAGAATTTTCGACAAGGATTGCACTAAGGATGTGAAAATGTAACCAATGAGCTCGGGCTCATCAGTTAACATGCACAGTTATATGCAGGCTCCCCACATGCACTGGCTCCTAGGAAGCTGCCTGCCGCCCTATGCAGCTGCCTTTGCCCACTACAATGGTCTTTCTCTCCCCTTCAAGGGATATTAGCAGTCCTCCATGTCTGTATCTTTCACTGTGGCCCGCTGCTGCCAGGATCTAGCCCCTCACTTGAGCGGCAAGATCCCAGAGTCCCATAGGTGTTGGTGCCCTTGTCGTCTTAGGTAAAAGAGATAACTTGGGTTTTTTTTTTAACCCTTTCTTTTATAGTCCAGTGAACCCTTCAAGTGGGTTCTCCTGAGGGTTTTTCTTCAAAGTTAAGTTTATTCAAGCTGTAAAGCGGTGACTTGGAGCCTGGTGGTGAAGAAGGGTGTGTGCTCTTTCTCCTTGCCTGTCTTTGCTGAAATATAACTTTGCATAGGCCTTTTCTACTCTAGAGAGCTGTGTCGACAAAAGGCAACTTTTCTTGCCAAAAGAGTGGAGGTGTATGCACTACCATTTGACTTTTGGCAACAATACTCTCCTGTTCTGGTGACAGAATACAACCATCTAAAGAAGAGGCATAGGGGGCAAAGTTAATCAACAAAGTGTAAGTGAAGACACTGTGATTGGTTTTGTCACTGTAAATGACTTCCAGAAGGTGTCCCACAATGCCTATCTTGACTACTCTTGTCAGTAATCCGAACTCTGCCTTTTCCCCTTTAAAGGCCTGAGAGTTTTTGAAATTTCCCTTCCAGTTTGCTCCCATTACTCAGTCAAAATGTTCTCCTGCTTGGAGCACATTGGAGCTTTTGGATCTGCTCAGTATATGGGGACAGGAGATTGTCCAGTCCCAGCTCTGTTCCAGGCATAGAATCTTCAATATCTACAGACAGATTGCTCGTGGCTTTCATGGGAAGAACTATGATTGGGACACAGTACAATGTAGAGCAAAGATAAAGGAGATGAAGCAGTCCTACCAGAAGGCAAGGGAAGCAAACTGCCACTCCGGTACTGCACTGAAGACCTGCTGCTTCTATAAGTAGCTGAACGCTACACTATCCCTCATGGTGACCTCACTGCCCTGAGCCCTGTGGATACTTTGGCAAGGCTGAAAGTGATGGGAAGTGGACCTAACCCAGAGGATGAAGTCATGGATGAGGAGGTGAAGTTAGAGGACAATGTCTAGCCAACGGCAGAGTTGCCTGATCAGGTACTGAGTCAGGAACTTTTCTTCTCTATTTGGAGGTGTCTATCCAGTCCCAGTGGTATATCTCTGGTGAGCAAGAAAGAGGAGAAGAGACTCCTGGTGTTCTTTTTGAGTTGATGCTGCTTGTTTATATGATGTTTAGCTTTCTTTTGCTTACTGTGAAAGTGGATGAAGTGACAGAAATGTACAAGACTAGCTGTGTTTCAGTGTACTACAGATTTCTCTGTGCAGCTGAGCAGTGTAGTGGAAGAGTGTGTTGTTGCTCACTGAGATTTCACAGGTATGCTCCAGAGCAGGGCTACTCAACATGAGGCCCGGGGGCTGCATGCAGCCCACAGCTTGTTTGTTTGTGGCCCACAGCGCGGTTTGGCTTTACAGTGTGGTTTGGGTTGATATGTGTTTTAGTAGTTAAATTCCTGGACTGTTGTGAAGCCAAAACAAAAATGTAGTCAATATAATGGTCTTTTGCTGTTATGCAGAAGTTAAAGGTATATAAGTAGTTCCATTCCTGGATTGTCATTGCTCATTAAAAGTGCTGTCATATGGGTGGAAATCGGGTTAATATTACATTTTATTAATTTTAGCAGAACTGACTTAAATGGGGCCTGCATGTGGTGTAGACTTGCCTTAATCTTTGTATTCATGCTTGTCAGTGTGAAAGAAGCTATTTGCGTATATATTTGCATGTATATGCAACCACACTTAAGTTGCGGCTCTCGGCATGTGCTGTAGCATTGTGGTCCCTGGAGTTTCCAAAGTTGAGTAGCCCTGCTCTGGAGAGATCTCCTGGAAACTTTCCTGGAGGCACTCATCAATCCTCTGCCAAATGCTCCTTGGCAGAGCTGCTTTGTTCCTTTCTCCCCTCTAGGAGACTTTCCTGCACCACTCAGCAATCATTTTTGTAGGGACCAATGCAGTGCACAGGCAAGCAGCATATGGCCCAGATCTGAAGTTGCATACATGCATTAGATGCACCTTTGTATCCTTACCCTCAGTGACCCTCACCTTTAGAAAGAGATGGCAGAATGTACATCCCTAGTCACTTGCACTACTACTGTTGAATCATCAACATCACTGTTTACCCAGTTTAAATGCCGCCTACTCCTTAGGCAGAACTCATCATGTTTAAGATGTTAGCCAAGCTGTGTGCCTGCCATTGGTCAGTGAGAGAGAGTTTGGTATGTTACAAGAGGTGTATTTCACTATAATGATCCTATGCTGGGAATGAACTCACAATCATGCTTCTTGTATTGTTTCTTGTGATTCTGAAGATGTGGCTTTCAGGGAAGCCCCCTATATGTGGGCAGAGCACCTCTGCCAGATAGGGAAGTGATCAAGGTGGAGCAAGGAGGACATATTCTGGGAGGAGCTGCAATCCTCTGAGGCCAAAAAAATAAAAAAGAGAAAAAAGTAATGGACGGAAATAGAAAAGTGGTCAGAAAAGAGAAGCATGAGGTCATTCAAAAGGCCACTGAACAGATGATAAAAGTAATGAAGGAGCAAGCAGAGATGTTGAGGTCCCAAATCACACTATAGTCACTTTGCAGCCCATATAGCCCACGCAGAACTGTTTTCCATGCTGTCCCAAAACACCTCTTACATATACTTTGCAACTTCCTGGAATGTTTTGGTATCTTGTTCTCTCCACCTCTTTGGAGATTTTCCATAATAATATCTGGACTTGTGCACCACTGTAGGAGCCTGCCCTTTACTGGTATCTCCCTTCCCATCTTCCAGTTGTGTGTTGATTGGTGTTCAATAAAAACAAAGTCTCTGAAATATAACAAATATTTATTTGTTGTCTACAAATTATAATTGCAGCTGGTAGTAAAACATATCACCTTTGTCCTGCTTGTCCTCATCCGTCTTTCTATGAATGCAAGTCTCCACCATGCCATCCCATTTTGTTGTAAGCATGTTCTTTCCAGTTCTGGTGAAAGAGTTTTGTCATGGGCTCTGCCCAGTGGTCACTGAATGGTCTCTGGGGATCCCCAGTCACTCATGGAGTTATCAACCTATTTTCTTGCCTATGGACTGCATGACCTGCTTACTTCTGCTTTGCATTGTACATAGCCTGACCACACTGGTCACCTCTGAACTCCTGATCTCATTCATTATATGATTGTGGAGTGATACCTTATAGCAGTGTTTCTCAAAGCCACTAGTGGGCCTTTGCTGCTTTGTTTACCTAAAGCCGTGGTCCCCAACCCGGTGCCCGCGGGCGCCATGGCGCCCGCCGGGCTCTTTACATGCGCCCGCGGAGCAATCTGGGCGGGCAGGTGCCAGCCCCGGGCGCATGGCCGGTCCCGGCCCCGGGGGCGCCGCGCGTACCCTTGCCAGCTCCTGCGCCGGCCTTGGCCCCGCCCCCGGGGGCACCGCGCGTGCCCTTGCCGGCTCTGGCGCCGGCCTTGGCCCCGCCCCCGGGGGCACCGCGCGTGCCCTTGCCGGCTCTGGCGCCGGCCTTGGCCCCGCCCCCGGGGGCACCGCGCGTGCCCTTGCCGGCTCTGGCGCCGGCCTTGGCCCCGCCCCCGGGGGCACCGCGCGTGCCCTTGCCGGCTCTGGCGCCGGCCTTGGCCCCGCCCCCGGGGGCACCGCGCGTGCCCTTGCCGGCTCTGGCGCCGGCCTTGGCCCCGCCCCCGGGGGCACCGCGCGTGCCCTTGCCGGCTCCTGCGCCGGCCCTGGGCGCGCGGCACTTGCCAGGGGGCGCCTTCCCCGGCCCCGTGGCTATGGGAGGGCCCTGCCCCCGGGCATGTGGCTGGGGGGGGACGCCCCCGGGCGGGTAAGTGTCCCCGCCCCCTGGCGCCCGCCAACCTGAAAAGGTTGGGGACCACTGACCTAAAGGATCCATAGCCATGGAGCCTCACAGTTCCCATTGGCTCTGGTTCCCTGTTTCCAGCCAAAGGGAGCTGCAGGAAGCTCACTTTGAGAAACACTGTCTTATACATTTACCTTTTCATTGCTCTCTGGATGATGGTGAATTTTTTCCCTTCATGTCCATTGTTAACCAGCTTTCTGCTTTGTATATCATTGCTGGCAGAACAGTCTAGTTAAACAGTTCTGCCCTTTTCTTCATGGGCAATGCATTATCCATTAAAGGCATCTTTATTTTGTTTAAACTTGCCCACTCTGCCTTTCTCCTCCTGTTGCATTCCCTTCGAATGAGTTGTGTCTATTCAGCGGCTGACCCAGATAAACGTACTTGTTGATCCCCTTGATTTCCATCCAATTACATCCAATTTGTCTTCAACTTATTCTCTTCTAACCCAATAATATGTGAAAATGTTCGCAGTTGCTGCAGTTTGTTCTCCAGTTCTGTTGTATCACTTGCACATATTACACAGTTGTCAGTGAAGAAAAAATGCGTAAACTGTTCTCCATCAATTCTGATTCTTTCTTCCCAGTTCAGTTTCTTAAACAGTGACTCTAGTACTGTTGCATACTG